GCGTACTGAACCCATTGGTGGTTGGATACTAAGTGTTCCCATTGCTTGAATATTACACAAAATTGACGATTACGTTTTGATAACGAATTACGCTCTTGGCTGTATGATAGAAGATCGTTCCTCTGAAAACAGCATCAAAATTTCCAACTTTTCTGTGAAAAACCAGTTGGTGATAAGAATCATTTCAGTAGGTTCAAAAAACATCCTCTATTTACTGAAGTGTTATTTCACGTTACCTTAATATTTTTGCAACATTTCAATATATGCTATCACTAAAACCTTATCAGTTCTATTTTCCGTTCACTTATTATTCGCTTTCTACTCCGACCATTGTCATCTCCACAAACTTGTACACTTTAATCGCATATTTGAAAATCTGAACGTCTCCTATTATCTCTCAAATCTCACCATTTCTCCTTACCACTCAAATTTCTCTCATTCCTCCATTTTCACTCCTTTCCTATTTTGAACTTAGTGGAAGTACTTATGGACTTCCATAGTATCGAGAGGTCAAACTTCAATTTTGATACTTCAAATACAGTTAAAGAGGAAGGGATTAGAATAAAGGTCAGGTTTGCTAATATATCTTGAACTAGTACATCTGTCGATCGGTTTTAGAATTTGTGAAACAATTGAAATGTCGCGCCCCTTAAATCATATTCTATTTGATTGGAAATAGTAAAATTTGAAAAAAGAGTAACTTCACCTAGATGACCTGAGATATCCTGGACATTCACACCAACGTTACCTCTAATCCAGTTCTACGAACAGTAAAAATAGTCACCTCAGAACACTATTCCAAAGCCGTTTATCTTCTACAGCCTATTTCGCTAGTTGGTGGTACGGCGATTCTGTTTTCTACCATCGAGAGTCTTGAAATGCTGGAGATAAATCTTTCTTCTCTGTATCTTAGAAATCACTGTGCTTTTATTATCCTATTCCATCATCCGAATTACAGCATACAGTCTTGTCAATTGTATTGAGCTACCACAAGTTGCCTGATATTGCTTATCAAATCGAGCAATAAGAATAATCTCATTAATATTGAATCGGATAAGATTACAAATGAGATAAATATTTGTGGGAAAGTTATTATTGGAAACCACAATAGATTTCGGTTAAGTTCTTCGGAATTAATTTTCCCAGAAATTATGAAAATTACAAGTTTCAACATCGCCAACCTTTCTCCCACTAAAAAACCTATAACTGAGTGGTCAGTTTAATTATTCATTTTTTTTTTTTTTTACAAACAGATTTTGCTTATAATTGTTCGACATAATGAAATAAAGCGATATATCAGTTTTCAAATAGGAATATGCTGAAGTCAGTGTTAATTCGTGTTGAATTAATTTAAAAAGCTGTAATAAATGTTTTATTAAACTCATTATATCTTCACACATTGTTCTTGAAGACATCAAACGATCATTTAGTGAAAAAATGTTTTCTAGAATTACCGAATATTGATACTGTCGGAGTGTTAATCACTTTACTATTTAATGCAGATGTTTAATATTTTTTTGACAATCATTATATCTGTACAATGCTGAAATAGTTTTTTGAAAAAAAAATTGATTATCGTCACTGAAAAATCAATTAAAGTTTATTAAAATAACTGAATCATTTGATTTATGTGGCATTCCCTTGTTTATATTGGAACTGTTTAAAATGGCTTTCTCTTCAGTTAATTTGGACTGTTTTCAAAAGTCTGAAATTCTAAAATTTTGTCCTTTACCTAGTTCTAAGTTCAATTCACGATTTGAATTTTAAAATTGTCTTCTCTCTACAAAAGAAGAATTCATTACATCATTAAATAATCTAATTATGAAGGTAGAATCGGAAACATTCAGAAATTTCTAACCCCAGAGATGAAAATTCAATTTATCTTTTTTAGTTCACTATAGAATTGTTCCATTTATGTTATAATTGAATCGTACTTAAATTCACTATTTCAGAATATTTCACTTTCCGAAAATTTGAACATTTTCTTTTGCTCCCTAATTTTGAAATGATTTCAAATTCGAAAATAGGAATACTACTATTTAAATCCATCTAAAACGTACGGATGTGATACAAAAATTAATGATTATGAAAAATATTGCTAAACGGGTTTTTAGATAAACATAAACGATTGCAGCCAGCAATTGCTTGCAAAGTTTTTAACTGTTTAGTGGCATAATTTTATTTTTAAGTTTAAATTTTCAAAGAAAAAAAACAAAAGACAAAACAAAGATGAATCATATTTTAGCATAGCTTTTTTTAGCCTTCTCATACTTCTTTTTTTTCGAAAATTTTCTCGAAGAAATTGGGAATACTTTTATTATTTTCATTTTCCTCTTCATTGGTTGCACTTTCCTATAGTTTTCTCATAAATTTCGAACTTATTTTAACTTGATAGTGAATAATTCATCCTTTCAATTTCTAATTTCATAAATCTAAAGCAAATAAAAAAATTTTTTTTTGTTTAGTGAAATTATTCATTCAAAAAACCAATTTTAGTCATCATTCCAAATGATTAAATATAAGCAGAGAGTGATGAAATATGAGAATGCTTTCGAATAACAAATAATTTCTAATCAATCAATATTTTCATTCCTTAATTTTTAATTTTTCTTTTTTGCCAAAGTTTATTTTTTAAACTAATACTTATCATCAATAATTATTTAGTTTAATTCATTTATTTTTCAATTTTAATTTATTTGGTATAAGATTTGTCGAAATAGATGAACTTTGTGAATTTTCTTTGAAATAATCAATGGAAATGTTTAATCATCATATCACAAAAGAGAGAGTGAGTTATGATTGGTGTGTTGTGAATATTATTACATTCTTGATGATACCGTTTCGGTATCTTTCATATCAAATGATGATAAGGTTAACAACTTATTCATAAATTTTCAAATTTCAAAAGCTAAAATGAATGCCCTTTCATATGATCTGATACCTAAAAATGATATGCTTGCAATTAGCTTACTGTTTAATGAATATCTGTAATTCATTCTTCATAAGCATTCCAATTTTCCCTCCTGAAATCATTCTCCTTTTTCCATTTCTCTCTCTCTCTCTCTCTCTCTCCTTCTACCCTATGCTTACATTTATTTCATCCAGCTCAAATCATCACTCTCTTTTGTCCATCCTTCCATTACCCTACCCAAGAATGCATCAATCAGTTCATCCTTTCTTGGGAACAGTTGCTGTATTTCATTTTCTTTTTTTCTTTTTTTTTCTTATCGTTTACCAATATATCCTCCGAAAAAAGGCTTTTTTCTTTACATTTTTATTTACTGTCTTTAGTTTCTTCTAATAGTAATACTATTTTCCTATCAACCTTAACCACAAATGACCTGAATCAATTTATTTCCATTCCCTTTCTCCTCCTAAAATCTGTATCTGTACATCTGAACAGTCCTCTCTCTTTGTATTTACTCTCAATTTTACCGCATAACTATCAATCAGGAGCAATTGAATGGCTCTTTCTCACCTGTCCTTATCGAAATCACAAACTTTCCCTTTTTCTTCTCAACGAGAGTTGCCCATAAATGGTTCACTTTTTCACCGTAAACATTTTCGATATGCTCATAAATTTCACTGATTCTCTTTCACACTGTCAAATGTCAAATGTCCTTGTCATCTTTTCCCCATAGTATCATCACTTCTTTCAATTTCATTTATTGATTCATTATGTCTACTTTTTATGATATCAAATTATAGTCTAACTTTGTTCCATTATCAGACTGTATGACATTTGATAATTGACATCAATTTTTGTTACGGTTACTAAATTTTGAATTCATTAATGTGTTTCGTTAATTGAAATGGCATTGATAATTTTGATAGAACATATTGAGCAATTATCAATTTCAGAATTTTGATTATTACCGTGTGGAATAATCATTTGATATTCGAACTCTTTCAAAATATTTCTTCCGAAAATAGTATCTCTTGAATTCCGAAATATGCAGGTAATGTGAATCTTATTTATCGATTTTGATCTGTCTATATTTATGGAAAAGGAGAAAAAAAAGAAAAAAATGGGAAAGAGTAAAAAGAAAAGGTCTGTTTTAAATGTTGAAAAAGCAAAAGAAGAGTTGTTGAATTCAATGGAAAAGAACTGTGAGACAGCTATTCGAAATGAAAAAACAAAAGAAGAGATTGTCGTAGAAGAAGCCAAACAAAATGACAAGGGATTCAACGGTGAAACTAAATTATCAAAAGAAACTGATACCTTGCATTCTATGTTGACAAATAGCTGTGCTGATAATAATGTTAAGAAATGTCCACAGGGAATTGATGAAGGCTGTTCAGCATTTTTCAACCGCGTTGCAATTTCATTAGATGAAGAAAATCAAGAATATTTTCCACCTAGAAAAACAGATTCGAAGGAAAGCGATTGGAAGATTGAAGGAACTTCTCCTGCAAAGATTCAAGAGAGAAATGTGGATGAAAATGATTCCGAATCAAATTTAACCGAAATATGTGATGAAACGAAAGATATTAATGCTTCTAAAGTTATGGACAATCCGGTAACTAAAACAATAGACCTTAAAAAAACAATTTACCGGATATCGATATTGTACCTATATCAAATGTATCTGAGTCGGTAGTTGTTCATGATGTGGAAACAACTGAGCAGGACTTCCTGAAAATGCATGGTGCAGAAAGCATACAACACACGCAAGTTTCGGAAGCACAGATTTCAGAAAAATTGAATATGAAAACAGCAAATCCGGATTTTTAGCCCGTTCAAGATTTAGACATGCTGGGTGAAGGATTAGCAGAGAGG